CCTCGTGCAACGGGCCTTGATCGTACATGACATCTCCAGGAGCTATCACAAGATAAATCAGGCATGATCAGTCGTTAACCTAGTATGTTAGCGGAATAAAACGAGACAGAATCAGATTGCTTGAGGGGAGTCTTGCAGGAGACTGGGCTGGAGCAAAGATGGAGTGCTGAATCTATTTATGACAGAGTGACAGACATTAGATGGTTACTGTCTTGGTCTTCAAGAATGGAACTAACTTGCGAAGCAAAAAAGCCCAGACTGAATGAATTGAATCAATGGTAAGTGTTAGTGGGAAGAAAAAAAAAAAAAAAAAAGGAAACTCGCATGCCCTTAATCTTCCATTTCTGCTCAGTGAGCCCTGCCCATATTGGCAATGTGGAATCTGCTGCCTCCTTGTGCAGCGCTAGCAAAGCCTTGGAGTTTGGAGAGAGCAGGCACGTTCTGCTTTCAAAGCCCTCCTTTGGAACTTGAATCTCGTGTAAAAGATGTCACACTAATACCTCCTCATAAAATGAAAGGAGACGTTTTTGCCCAATTATATTTTAGCACTTCAGAGCACAAATGCTATCGTTTTAGAATCACCCTGGATGCTAAGTGTGCCTTTGCTTTGAAAGCTGTTGATTGAAGAGTGTTTAAAGCAAATTGGAAGAACGGTGGCAGTTAAACTTACTGGGAACTTTGGCACATTAACAGATAAATCCGAAGAAAATACCAGAAGGATTGTGTCTAACAAAGGTGAACAAAGCTCAGGTTTTCCATAGTACCAGCTTTTGCACATACTAATGCGATCTCTTGCTTCAGCCGAAGTCTGTGTCCAGACCTGAGCTGAGAAAGATCTGACAGCTCCCAGGCTAGTTACCGTGGAGTAACTGGAAAGACTGATGAGTTTCCTGGTGATCTAAGAACCCAAAAGGTGTCAGATAAATCTTGAGCAGAATGAAGATGTGCCAGCCTTTTGAATCTTTTTGTATAAGTTGGCATTGCGAAAAGGCTCTTCTTAGTTTGGCCCACAATTTGCAACAGCATCTGAATTTAGTTTAAAAATAATAATAATGATCCGTAAGTTCCGCGTGTGGAAACAAATTTAAGCCATCTGCAAACCCTTTTCATGAATCCTCATCTTTAGAATTACATTTGAAAGGTACAGGCAGCCCAGGACCATGACAGAACTTTCCTTATACCTGTGCTTTGGACCAAAAACTGTGCTGAAGGGTTCACATAGTTTCTCCACACTAGGGTTAATTTTTAGGATGAGAAAGAATTTTGATATCCCTAAAAGGAGCAGAAAAAGCAACATCTCAATCCTCAGGTCCAAGGGTGATAACAGCTTTGTGAAAAGATGAGAACAATCTCTTGGTAAAGGAACCAATGATAAGAAAACAGCAACAATCCAATTCTATACAGGTTGTCTCCTTTTCTTTTGAAATACAATATCAAGAAAACGGAACTTCAAAAAAAAAAAAAAAACCTTTTCGAAACCTCAAATATAAATCCTTTATTGTAAAATAAATCTTTATCCTTTCAGTGCATGATTGTATGAGTCTTCCCTTTTCATTGAGTTGTATTTGCTTCTCACACTGATTGATGTCTGTCTCCTATTTGCCCTGTGTTCTTAGGGCTATAGTTGTAATTCTTCTGTCCATCTTTCATTGTTCTGTTTAGAAAAAAATACATTCTTAAAGTGGTTTAAAAAAGATGGCATATAGGTTTGAGTTTCTTTTTTTTTTTATTCTGCCATATACATTTAGACTGCTGTGGGGTTTTTTTTTTTCAGTTTTTTCCAAAGAACATCCCAAAGTATGTACTCTAGGTTTAAAATTCATGTGGTGCTTTTTTCACTTCTTCAGAACCGTAACTTCAAAGAGGTGAGCATTGCAGTACAATGTGTGCCATATTCTAATGCAGTGCTTTACATCTGAAGTGCTGTGTACTATATTTTCTGTGAAAAACTTTGCTCACAGATTATGTATTTTAAAAAAATCTTTTTATTTAATTTGCTCTGCTCTGAGTGGAATTCAGCAATTGCTATCGGCATACACACCAGCAGTTCAGCCCTACCACAAATTAAAATTAGATACTCAAATATATAATTTCCATCCTATTTTTTTTTTTTACAAATGACTGAATGGATTTTAAAAGTTTTTTTTAACCTAATTTCTTCAAACTCTTTCTTCCTTCAGGTAACCCTTTTGACACAACAGATAGTCTGGTAGACACAAACCCAGATTTTTCTGCTTAAATTTTACATTCTGCGTCAGTGTTTTTAGCAGATAGAAACATCCTCTCGTTCGAATAACGTCACTGCAAGACCTGCGTGAGAATTTCAGCGTACTGCAAGATGCGGACGTCCATACCGTTCTCCTTTCAAATTCGTGATGCTTCATCCGTTTCCCATGTCACCCGAAATAACAAAACCGCCAGATCATTTTGCTGTTTCTCATCTTAATTAAAGATGATTTTCCTCCATATCCAATGCATAATTTAGTGTGGGATCCACTCTAACCGAAGATGTTCTCCTGCCTTGGTGTTTCCTTCCCGACTGTACTTTCCCATGTGATCATATGCTCGCCAGCAGCCTTTCACCTGAAGCTCTGCAGAGGCAAAGTAAAACACGGTGGGGTGACTCCTCCCAGCCAGGAAGCTGGGACGGCATCTCTCTCCAGCACGAGCCCGGGGGGGGCTCGATGAGCCTTTCTCTAGGGAAGCTGCTTTGCTCTTGTGGTTCTGCAGACCCAACTTCTCCGGCTGCTGCTTCTCTGCGTAAAGAACAAACGGTACAAGGCCATACACAGCCGTAATTAAAAGATCCCCCACTGGAGTTAGCGGTAAAGCAGTCGGGCGGGATTCAAGCCAGCGGTGTCGAATTCTTCACGTACGATAGGTAGAAGCTGTTGCTCAAACGCGTTGGAGTTCCCGTGCCTGGTGCTAGCGTGACGGCGCTCAAGGAGTTTCGTAGTGCAGGCGGCGCAAGGAGATAATTTCCTCCCTGCGTTCTTCTCCGGCTTCCCCTGCCACCTCAATCTTCAAACATATTAGTTTGCTGATTTCTGGGAAGAGGGTCTTGCGCACTGTGATTTGTCAACCACTGTCCTCGGGGACAATATTTGTGAATAAAAAAAAAAAAAAAGTCACCTTTTGACTGGCACTCGATTGATGTCTCAGCAGTTAAGAGGAGAGAATTGATCGAGAAGTTGCACTACCCCCTTAGAGGTTCCAAGGGTTGGTCCTTTCAGGTCAGGGCTGAGGCGAAATCTTACGTGGCCCTCCACGCAAACTATCACTTCTGCACCTTTCAACAGCACTAAATTCACTTTAAAAACGTAGGCAAAGAAGTCTAGAAGGTCTTACCTGCAACATATATTGATCACCAGACAGTTTGAGTGTGTTTCCTGGAACTGGAGAGATTGCTCTTGCCTTTACCATTGTGTTTCATTTTCCTTTGCATCGTTTAGGCCCATCGGGTTTCTTTTTCCTTGAAACTATTTGGCCTTTGAGTGTTTCAACTGAAGTGCTATTACACAGTGTTCCCCCACCCCGAGTGTTTAAAGTTTTCTTTCCTTTTCTAACGACCCCAAAGCCCGTTTCTCAGAAGCTGTCGAATGCCCGCTGAAGCCGGTGGGAGCAGCGCGTTCCCTCGACGCCTCCTGAAAACTCGGGCTTTCTGCCCTTCCCCACCCGTGTCCCGGGTACCCTTAAGGATGACCGTGTTCTCTTGGAAACTGTGGAATATATTGAATGTGCACTGCGAACCTTAAAAGAGCCTTTCCCTCCTTCGCGGCTGCTTGGAGTTGTCTGCAGCGGGCAGGGGCTCGCGGGTGCCCCCGCGTGACCGGGCCCTCGTTTCCGTATCGTAACACTTTGGCAACGGAATCGCGGTTTTGTAAATTTTCAAGATTGCGTTTGTGTTTACTTACTGTGACTACTGTTCAGACTTTCTTCAGAAATCTTTTTATAAGCTTTATTAGAGGGGGGGGGGAAATCATTCCATATTTAGGTAAAAATGTCTCAATCTTCTGTATATATGTTTTATTAATATGTAAATATTTAGATATTTTTAAATTACTATGTTCTTAATAAAGCGACAAGGGACTAGTTGTGGAATGGTGTATAACATTGTGTTGTGTTATCAATCTCTGGGAAACCCTCTTTGTCAGTTCAGAAAAGAAAAGCTACAATAAATAACTTTAATTGAACGTGTGTTTTCTGTGTTTTGTGCTAGATTCTTGTATTTCAAAAGAATTACTTACCACTTAGAGGACTAGGTAAGGAAAGGTGCGGAAAAACAGAAAAGTTGCTGCCAGAATATGATTTTTTAACCGTCTCAGATGGAAACTATTGTGCCTGCCAATCAGAACAATGGCTATATCAAATCTCATAATAACTCTTGAGTAGTAAATGCTGATATGCTTGAAGTCTAATTTTAATTGAATTAGGTGCCTTCATAATCTTCACTTAAAAGGTTAAGCTCTGCTTCTATGGAAACAACACATAGGAAGGACAAACCAATACTCATCCTCTGGAGTAGCTTGGTAATTTCTTATCGCACCCTCATCAAATGTTGTTTAGCCGTAGAAAATATTTCCTGCAAAAACACGTTCCTTGGTAATCTTCAATCAATTACAAGGAGCTAGTGAAGTGACTCAGCTCACCTTCCCTGTTTTGTGGCAGGAGCACTAGGGAGCAATTGCTAGTAAAAAGTCGCGTGGTAGTTTCATTTCCACTCCGGTGGTTGTGCTGATGCACTGCAGCCGGGCACGCATCTTGCATCCGTGTATACAGCATGAGTCAGCTACGTCACTGTTAATTGTGGAATATTTAAAAAGCAAGTAAATAGCGATTGAATTTGCCTCTGCCCTCCACGTGACCAAAAATTGGCTTCAGACCTGAATGCAACTCGTCGTTTGTGCAACTAACGATCAGCTGGGTGGATGGAACAAATCCATCCTTAGCTGAGCAACAGTTATTTTCACTAACCTGCTCTGCCGTGCACGTCATCCCAACGTGGTTTACTTTTACCTGCCTCTTTCCGCCACGGGGGAGGTTATCGGGCCGTTACTTGTCACGTGAGGTGGAATGCTGTTCGTGAAGACGTGATTGCAGACATGTTGTGGCGTTCTGCATTGGGAGCCACCCTGCAGGAAATCTCACCCGTGCCGCAAAGTGAGTAGTAAGTAGTCTTGTAAAGCTGCCAGTTCACCTGTTGGAAGAGCCGTACGGGCAAACTAGCAAAGTAGCCGGAATCACAGCCCAGGCTCCAGTGAAGCTTCAGCTTCGGTGCCGTGCCGTTGAGATAAAGCCTTCCTCTTTCCTATTTACGAGCCGCTAGAGATTAATACGTTGGGTGAAAAAAATCCTTCTGAAGCTTAACAGGAAAAGGATATCCTCCTGGTAACATGAAAGGAAACTGGAGCCCAGGCTTCATAAAAAATGCATTAATTGCAAGACAAGAAGAAAGTCATCTGAAGTGCCTGTGACATGTTGGGTTAGAAATGGCTGCCTGAGTCTTTCAGGAGAAACGCACGGGCGTGCGGGAGCGGCTCGCGGGCTTGGGGCTGGTTCCTGACGGCCTCCTACGAACGAGACTGATGTAGCGGGATTTCACGAGAGGCCCCTGTGAAAATAACCCCATCGCGCACACTCTTCCCCCAAATCTGCAGTAGTAAATTGCCTCGGAGGAGATGCCAAGAAATGATTTTTCCCCTCCGATGGCTTGCCCGCCGGTCGGAGAGCCGTGGACCCGCCACAACGTCGGCTGTCGCTGCCGAGAGGCTCCCGATTCGTTTTTACAAGTAGGTCAGGTATGATTTCTCATCCGCCGAATGCTAATAAAAGGCACTGATGTGAAACCTATAACATTATGTGTATAAATAATTTAGCTCAGTTGTGTAAACATCGATTCTGAGCGCTAAAAAAAAAAAGGAAATAATGCACCATTGGCTTCCCCCCTACCCCTGCGCGTATGTTGTTGCGCAGAACTGCAAACGGGGGCAAAAAGTAGTTAATCTTTGGAGAATTTGGAAATGTGAGAGACAAACCTCTTGCGTTTCTTACGTTTCCTTTACCCAGATCCTCAGAGGTACAGAGGAATCAGGATGAGCGAGGTAGCTAATTAGAAACAAAGATGCTAATTTTGTCTTGTAACCGCAAGTGTTGACAAACAGTAGTACGACGCAAGGTGGCTGGGTTTACTGGTCAGATTTATGGACCTGCAATGGGCTAAAGCCGTTCTCTTCCCTTTACGCATCTCACCTCCCTAGGGCTGAGGCAGGCACCCAGGAAATCAGTTTGGTCGTTTGGCGTTCATCCAGCCTCTGAAATAACTGTATTAAGTTGGGACTTTTGCCCCATAGTTGTCCCCAAGTGGGCAGGAGGTTCCCCCACCACAGTCCCTAGAACACAGGGTCCAGAGAGGCCATGACTGAAGACCTGGAGGTCTTCTGCAGGACCTGGAGGTCTTCTGCAGAAGGGCAAAAGCCAGCTTGGGACCAGCGGCACCATCAAGGGCCGACACCAGATCTCTAAGCAAATGGTCCCATGGCATGGCCAGGCCCTCGGCCCCACGGCCAGGGTCCAGCTCTCACTCTGCAGGGCCTCCCTCCGGAGCAGCACCCTAGCCCAACCACGGCGGCTGAGCTAAAAACAAAATAGCAATAACACAATCAGCTCGCTCGGTGAGCAAATCCATCCATTGAGAGCAGCTGCAAGGGGCAAGTGATGGACTGTGGTTGGAAAGCAGCTGCCTTGGCTCCCTGCTGCCATGCGAGACCCTCTGGAGGGCGCATTATCACGGATTACGAACTGGTTTGGCAGGTAACACACTGCTAGCTTCACCCGGGGCCCATTACTTGCCAAACTGGTTCATAATCTTCCATAATGCTCTCCGGAGAGGCGATTAATGCTTCTCTGGTGGTCATTCTGCTCTCCCTGCTGGCTCTCCCCGTTGTAACTGTGCTTTAATGCGTCCACATGCCTCCGAAAGTGAACGTTGCACCACGGGGCACGGGACAGGGGAGGACAGGGCTGCTCTGAATAAGTGCAGATCAGCTAAATGAGGGAGGAAAATCCAGGGAGGTTAAAATAATAAAGAAAAGTCTTTATTAGCACCTACGGTGAGCTAGTAGACTGCTTGCTGTCCCCGGTCCGGTTGTCACGGGTTGACAGCATCTTCCTGCACCTGACTCCAGCCAAAATACAGGGCAGAGTGAAATGAAGTTGGGGGTCCCCACTGTGCCTCCTCCTTCCTGGCCTCATCCAACTTTCTCCCCCCGTTGCCAGAAGGCTGCTGCTGTTTTTATGGAGAAACAGGTAGATTCATCCCCTGAGCAGCTGCCTTTCCCAGCACCGCACACCCTCTCTGTCCCCGGAGCCCAGCTGGCTCCTCTCTGCCCCTGCTGCATTTTCTCCCCACAGGACGGGAGATGTCCATAGGCCACCAGTGGCATCCGCAGCCTGTCCCCGGTGCCCGCCCAGCTCCCTAGGGTTAGAGGCCTGCAGGTGCCCGCGTGTCTGGCGCTGCCTTGGAGGCATCTGGCTAAAGCAAGGGCGAATTGCAGGAAGGCAGCTGAGCTTTCTACATATATGGGCATTTTGGTCACATGCAAACTCCTTGACAGCTCGCCATGAAGTTAGTGAGGAAGAATCTGGCCTAGAACCAGCATGTGGCTATTGCTGTTACCGAAGCTTAGAGAAAGCAAAGATGAATGTAATCATTTAATCCCAAGAGATTTCAGGATTCACTGGCTATATCTCATGTCTCCATTCATAGTTGCACAGGGGATGTGTGTAAACCGCTCCGTTCTTATCTGGATGTACCTCAGCTCCATTCTCATTTCCGTCTTCCTGATTTATTGCACTTGTGTTTAGACCTCGGCTGTACCCGCTGCAGCATTTTCCTTCCTTCTGCCACAAAGCAGTGGAGAATCGGGGCTTCCTCACTGGGCCCAGTTTTTGGCTGATGAGACTCACCGTGACTCCCTCGGTCCCTGGGGCAGGCAGCAAGACCTGCCCTCCACACCCAACTTTCCTTCCTGCCCCGGGTGCGAGGCCAGGGCTGAGTTGGCGCCTTGCGCCCTGCAGCCCACCACGCTCCTCGGAGCCACCGACGGGAGGCTGCGAAGGCTGCATCAAAGTTGCTGCAAGATTAAAGATGACAGAGGCAGTGACAGAGGCGGTGCGGAGACATCAAAGTGAAACGTTATCAGAAACAGAGTGAGGATGCTGGTTCCAGTCAATTTAGCAAAAAACAGTGCATTCAACAGAAAAGCCAGAACGGGCATGCTTAGAGAGGAAAAAGTGAAAAAGATCATTGGGAAGAAAACGAAATCTGAACTGTGGCACTGGTGGAATTGATGAGACGGAGCTGCTTCTGGAGGCTCCCACAAGGATGTGCAGTGACTTGCTGGGTGCATGGCTTACTCAATGGTCAGAAGACATTGAGGTGCACCAGTTTGAAAGGGGGGCACTTCAGAGAAATACCTAAAGGCTTTGCGGGGCACTGGGCCTGCTAGAAGGTATCCAGGGACTCTTGATCTTCCCTACCAGGACTTCCAAGCATTCACATCAGCAACAATTTAGGAGAATTAGGAATAATTTGGGAATTAGGAGTCTGGTTAAACATAGAAAGTATATTCTCACTTTGTTAATACATAAGCTCATGTTTGCTAAAAAAAAGCCCATCTGTCACAGTATGTCAGGGCTGTTCTAGGAATGTGCCACCCTGGGACACGTGTGTGTGCTGGGCTTCCTTCAAATGGGGGCATTTTTGCAGAATGTGGGTCTAAGCTGGGGTTTTTTTTGTCTCTTTGAGTCCCTGAAGACCTCAGCTGCACCAGCTGCTCTCCTTTACCTTCCAGCCCATTTGGCTTTCTCTAACTTGCTGTAAAGTCAATCACAAGACACAGATCCCAAAATATGTTTCAAATATATTTTGGTTCCAAGGTTGGCCAGAGGCAGGCACTTCTGGACAACGCATAGACAGCGATGGTGGAGCAGGTGAAGCAAAATGTTCATCAAGCACACAGGACTAGAAAGCATCCTTGGTTCAGGATTAGCTGAGCAAAGACCTTTCCTGACAGACGGTTTTGAATAACCTCTAACCATGGAGACTCCACATGCTGTTCACACAGTCCACCTCTCACAGGAAATGCAGCACTCAGGGCTGCGCCGAGTGCCTGTGCCATAGCCTCTGCGGTGCCTGGCCCATGGAGCGATCGCTTCTGCCAAGTAGAGCGGAATGAACGAGGAGAAGGCAGCTCCGGGCTTCGTCAGTCCCCACAGAAGTGGCCTATACCAAAATAGACATGCACGTCCTTGGGGAAAGCCACAGGTTTATGGCATCTGCAAGAGCGTCTTATTATATAAATGAAAGGAAAGCAGGGAGAGAAGCGGGTGAGAACCGGAAGGGAGGAGGGTGCCGGGTCACACCCCCGCTCTCATTTACACACCACCAACACCTCTACTGCTACCAGAAATGGGGCTGTTGGGGTTTTATCTTTTTTTCGAAGACCTGTCCTTTGGATCTGCATATCTGAAGACACCAGTGATGGGTGGAGGGCGGCCCTGGAGGGTGCAAGCCCTGAGCAGCCACCAATGGCTTTGCAGGACGTGTTGCCGGCTCCCCGAGGACAGAGCACCCTGACACCAGGGCAGCGAGCACCCTGGATCCCAGCAGCCCCATGAGGATGGGCCCAGCGGAGGGGAGCTGGCAGAGGGAGCAGAAGGAGACTGCAGTCTGCGTTACGTCAGGAACCACCTATTTATCCTTGTTAAGTTGGTCTGTCTCCTCCAGCTTTGTCCCGTTCAGCCTGCTGGTCTCCCAGCTCTTTTTTGGGATTTTATTGAAGGTGTTAACACAGACTCTCACCTTTCAGGCCCAGGCTGCAGGGCGCCGGATCTCCTTCTCCCTCCACGTTTCCAAGAAAACCCATCCCCTTCCCACCCACAAGCTGCTCAGGAAACTGCTGAGGCCACCGCGGCTCATCCCCTCTTCCTTGAGTCACTTGTGTCCATCTTCACCTTTCTTATTGCCCCAGTGGCCAAAGTCCCCCATGCTGAGTGCGACTTTATAGCCCTTGCACACCTTGCTCCATAAGAAGATGGCCACGTCCCCAGCAGAAGCTTTACTCTTTCTTTCTTAAGAGATGAAATCTGCAGCCGCGTGCTGTCTCCTGGCTCTGTTTTCGAGGAGAAAAGCAGGGCTGGAAGCTGAGGTGCCAGCATATGATTCCCATATGAACTTGCATGTTTTCAGAGACAAACCAGACACAACGGCATCTCTCTGCAATATACATTGCCATGTGGGACGCTGGCAGTGTCAGCTGGCCACACAAGGTGTTAGATATCTTTCTTCCCCTGAAATCCCGCCTGCTGTTTTGGAGCCAACACCATTGGGAGATCAGAGGGCAGCACAGCTATATCCACAAATGCCTTCCGGATCTGGCATGAGCCAGGCTTGCTTTCTGCCCATGGCGGTTGGACGGTCCCTAGTATCCATATTTTGTCCATCAGAGGCTTCTCCCAGCTGTTCTCCAGCAGGTACTTTGGAGCCTGTTTTTTCCTATTCAGCAGAACGCTTTGAAAGGTTCATTTTTTAATCTGGCCCCCCGTAGGGAATAAAGTACAGCCTTCAATCCACATTTGTCTTTGCACAATGTGTTTAAAACAATGACTATCACCCTCCCCCCAGCTCCAGAGGCCTGAATGCCTAGTCTGAAATTCAAAGAACCCCAGGGCGCTAGGAAAATCGTTTTTACCCACTTGATGCTTGTGAGCAGAATTTGCCCATGCGGCTTTGTGGGTCTGAGGCTAGATTTGGGAGCTGCTCTCTCCTTCCAGGGGACGGGGTGTGCTTCTCAGTTAGAAAGAGCATTTGTCTTCCTAAAATTTAGACAACCTCCTGTGGGCTCCTGGGCAGTGTGGGACCACACTGCAGCTTGTTGTGAGGGTTAAAGATGTTGCCTTTCACGGCCTCAGTATTGATTTGATGAAACCACCTTTCCTGTCTTCACCGTGGCGGAGGTGCTCCTGCATCTGCCGCGACTGATCCCCAGAGCCAGTAGCTGCTATGTGGTAACGGGCAGGCACGTTGTCCAGCAGGGGGAGGTAGTTTGGGCAAGTTAGTGTTTCTGCAAGAACTTTTTCATTTCCTGGCTCCTCTGTCAGTAAGGGTACCACCTTCCTGACTTCATAATCTGGAGACCATAAAGCGTGCAAAACTCTAGTGCATTAACATAGATTTTGCATTTAACATTTATTACAGTAATGAGCTGCAGTGCAGTTCCTTCGTTGCCCTTTATTGAGTGTGATCGATCACCCCAGATCTTTCATTTAATGTCTCCAAGTCCCTCAGGGAAGCAGGCTTACCTAGTGGTTGAAGCTGCAAGACTTCTGGCTCGGCCACAGCTCGTGTTGCCGCCCATAGCCACAGCAACCAAATGCAGGCTCCCCGAGACCATTAAAAACCTGGCAGGGTTTTATCCCCTAGAGTCTCAATCCGGCCATCGGCAGGAGCCAGGCAATGAGGACTTTCTTCCTCATCACACCTGCTTCCTGCCACCTTGCTTCTCCCTTTTTCTCTTTGTTACCTTCTCTGATGCGACCTTCTCTCCTGCTCGCTGTGATGGACCTGCCAGTGCAGAGGAGGAGCAGGGAGCAGGGTGATAAGACCTTTCACTCCCCCTAGGAACTGACACCTCTATCTTCCAGATGAGCAGGAGATGCTGCTATTCGCAAGATACCTGCAAGAAGCCACCGTTCAGCCAGCCATGGGTCACTGGGACAGACACGCTGTGGTGTGCCACAAGAAGAGAAGGGGAGTGGGTCACTGTGCTGCACCCCACCCCTGGAGAGACCTTTCGTCCGGGTTTTTCACACAAGCCAGCACTCACCTTTCTGAATAGAGGTGGACTTTATCTCCAGAAGAAAATCCCTTGTAGCTGGGAATGCTTTGGGAGAGCTGCTGATAACTCTGTTCGTTCCATGCAGGGGGAAAGTCCAGGGTTTATGGCCAGGGTTTATGCCCTTCCTACTCTGAGTAAAACCATTGCGTTTCTCTTCATGCTAGTCAGAAAAATCAAACAAGTCATACACAGGAAATATGACGGCCCTAGATACCGAGGAACTTCATTTTGAGGAAGATGTTGCAGAAATCTCAGCCCAAAGCTTTGCCATTCAGCAGTGCTTTGGCCACCACCGTGCTGGAGGACCTTCGCAGCGCTTTCCAGGGATACAAAAGCATGACATGTTTTGTGCCCAGCTCACAGCACCTGCTGGTGGATTCACCTCTCAGGTTAGATCCAGCCCTGGGTATGACTGGAGCTCCTTAGAGAAAAACAATATGAACAAATGAGATCTGGAGGACTTCACTGCTGACTCCCAGGCATCTCCTCCATCCCACTTCAGGACGGCCCTCTCATCACGCAAGACCAACTCTGAGCTCTTCATTGCCCATCACAGTGCTTCACCCTGTGGGCACATCCGTTCTGGGGAGCAGAAAGGCAGTCAGCATCTCTGGGTCGGGGCACTGCCTGCCCTATCATTGCAATTTGTAGATCATGCAGGATCTAACATTATTTTAACAGTAATGAGGCAGTGGCCAACCCTGACCAGGGTTTTAGCTCTATCACGAGGTCAGAGAGACACTCCGTTGCAAAATGTTCCTGCAGTCCTTTTCTCTTTTCATTGCCTGGAATAATACATTAACTTGTGCTTCTGGGCTTGCTATGCGAATACAAAGGTGGTGGAACTCTGTGTTGGGTCTGGAGGCTCTGCAGAGGGTTAGACATTGTCTCTTGACTCCCTCTGTCAGGTGTTTGTAGCCTGCATAGGAGAAGTTGTGGCAATGTGTCTACCGCAATGTGTCGGCGGCCTCCTGCCCAGGAGGTTGAGCCAGCGGTTCTCAAGGAAGGCCCAACATTTATGCACATATGTCGGACTGAGACTCTGATGGTACTTTGCCGCAGTAGTAATCTGTAGGGTGGGAGGGGTCCCATGTGTATTATGGTGAAAGTTGCCCACGTTTCTCACAGGCTGGGCAGCAGGCTTTGCTGAAGGAGCCACAAAAACAGGAGGCAGGACGCCCTGCTACTCCTGCGCCAGGCGACCTTGGGTAACTCTCACATCTTCTCTGTCCTCCATCCCCATCTGTGATAGGAAGAATGAACCCCCACACACAGCAATTGCTTTGCACTCGTCCGATGAAAAATGCTGTGTAAGTGCTAAGGTTAATGCACACAGAGTGTGGTGCCCTTTGAAAGACAGCGCAGGTTTGCTGGAGAAGGCAGAGCTCCTCTTCCTGAAGCAAATTGCTCTTCAACTATTGCCATCTTGTGGCGTCTGTGACCTGTTACTTGTTCCTTTTATCTGCTAATGGTGTTAGTGAGAATCAGCAATGTACACAGGCAATTTTAAAATGAAATGTAAATGAAACAGAAATGCCTACAGAAGAGCCATTAGCATAAATCCAATCAAAGGGCTTTGTTTAACTTGTTAAAAATGACTAAATATTTAGTGAGTGTGGGTGGGCAAGGTGATTCTTGCTCACACTCAAGAAGTTTTAGAAGCAAAACTATCATCTCTGATATTTCAAATGACTGAACTTAAAAGCAATTTGCTATCCTGAACTCTGCCTCCTTGGTATATAACTCACTGGACTATCATTGCATATTCAAGGAGACCACCTCTAAAATATTAGCTTTGCTTCTAATAATAGTCGACTCACTCTATAAGGAAATTCAGACTTTACATCCTGACAATTGCTCCACAATGAGCAAATCCTTTGAAACAAATCCTGCTTATTTCAGTCATGTGAGTTGTCTCCTTGGGTCAGGCGCTCGGGGCGCAACGCAGCGCGGCACCACGACCCTCAGCAGGACCTCGCCGATCCGCGTTCGAGGTGCACCATCGAGATTGTCACCTTTGGTGGGATGCTTGTGCGTGAGTAAGAGCCATTACAGTGCCTAAGGGTTTTGCCTCAAACTGGGAAGACCTTGGTTCAATTCCCTGCCCTGTTGCTGGCTTTATCTGTAGAGTTTCATAAGGTGAACGTGACGCTGATGTTTCATGGCAGTTTAAGCTGGTGTAAACCAGAACTGCCAGCAAACCCTTCTGCTTTCCCTCTGCCTCCGCCCACCGTTCCCACGTCCGCACCTCTCCAGCCGAAGCTGCCACAAGCATTTGCAGAGCCTCTCTGACTAACCCAAAAGGAAAAAAAAAATTAATTGTTTTTTAATAACAATAATAGCAACAAAAATAATAATAATAATGAAAGCAAGATTTGGCTCTACACGTTGGATGAATTCAAATAAACCAGGTAAAACCAAAGGTCGGATTTTGTTCTGCAGCGACTCCGTGAACGCTGCAGGTGTTACTGAAGTCGACGCCGCTGCAAACAAGTGGCGAAGGGGGCCTGCAGAAATGCCTTTCATTTGGGAACAGCATCTCCTTCCCACTGTTTCACTCTCCGGCGTGGAGGTTTCACTCGATGATTTCTGCAGGGTTTCATGAGGGAGGGTGTTAATTGCATTTCTGGAAATCAAAGCGTCCGTCTTTGCCGCCGCCGCAGTAGCCGGGGCCGTTTGCTGATTTCTGCTTTGCTGTTTTCACACATTAAGCGCTTCCCTGAGCGCTGCCTCCTCGCGCCGAAGCTGTCCGCGCTCGGTGCCGGCCGGGAGGCGGCCTTTGCTGCAGGTCTGCGTGGGAAACGCTTCGTCCGGACGGATGTGCCTCCGTGACGGGCTGGGGTGACGCTGCAGGCGTCCGGCTCCCCATCCCCTTCCAGCCGGGTTAAAGCAGACCGCTGCATTAAAGCACTTTGCACGTGCTGGTGGCCTGCCTGAGGGTAATGCAGCATCTCCAGCTTATCCTCACCATACCCGCCAGCTTTTTCCCCCTGAAAAAAGGCTCTTTCAGTGTGTGGCAGAGCTAACTCATCCTGCTGGAGACAGCCAAAGAGGACATCAGGTGGAGGAAAGCTGTCCTTACATTGCCGTTAACACCCTGGCCACTGGTGGTGGAGGAGGAGCGGGGTGCAAAGCGCCGGACGAGCTCTTCCCAGGAGTGCTGGGTCAGTGCCAGCCCCGACCCCGGGGGAGCCGCTCCACTGCCTGCTTCCACCCTTGCCTCCGCCGCACGCTGGCAGCTTGGGAGGTCCAGCTGCACCAGAGAAATATTGCGTCCTGGCATCGCCACCGACCGTCCCTGTTAAATAGTATCCACAGGCTTTCCAGCTGCATGGGAAGCAGGTACTTTCCAGGAGCTTCTTAGCAGAGTTACTAATTATGGGCTCCGCTTAGTACACCTTGCTTTCTCCTGACCTAGCTGGACTGGCAGCTGGATGTGAAAGAGATGTTTAGGTTTCTCCAGATCACTCTGCCGGAAGATTGTTATGGCAACATGCTTAGCTTCAGCCTCTCAAAGACCGCAGACTGTCTAAATCCTGCTTCGGTGCTAAACTGCTGTAAGGCCAGGCCTTGCTTTCCCAATGCAAAGGGAAAATTACCAGGCAGTGATTTGTATCGAAAGAAGGAGTTGCATCGAATATGCACGGCTTCTTACAGGGCGCTTTATCTGCACCTCCTGCAGCCCTTTGCTGACATCATGCCCATTTCCCAAAGGAGGAATTCAAGGTATAAACCCCATTTCCTCTGCTTTGGGTGCCCAGCTGGAGTGACACTAGGGTGAGATTCAGCTCCACTTTAGCAGTCGACAGTGCAAGTGTGCTTAAGGTCTTACTATGGTCAGCGGGGATCTAACGGATGCTGTTGGAGGAGGCTGTATGACAGCCACCGACCATACGGCCACTCACAGGAGACGTCAGTGTGTAGGTGCCTGAGCCTGGAGCTGGATCCCACCCCAAATTAAGGTGATTTAAGGGCTGCCCGTCTCCAGCAGTGCAGGTAACACTGGGTACAGCTGCCCCTCCATGAGGAAGGAGCAGAGCCGGGGCAGCCCTGGAGGGCTACGTTTGGTGCTCCGACGGAAGGAAAAGTAATGGCTGAGCCTGGTTTCGGGGGGCAGAACAGGCAAGGTTGCTGCGATCGTTTCGCTCCTTGCAACAGCGTGCTTTAGTCTTTTGTGCCTGGACACGGCCTTGGAAAGCATCAGGCCCCTCATAAACAGAAGCACCCAAGGCTGTGCAGTGCATCAGTGGCAGAGGAGAGCAGAGACCCTCCACTATGTCCTTATCTACAGGACTGGTACTTTAACGAGCGACTCCTTCATGTGAGCCCCAGCCCCTCTGCATCACGTCAGGCCCATTGTGAGGTCTAAGAAGAATTAAAGAGCGCGTTTGCCTTCTGTTGGGTCCTGGCAGCAGGACAGCATTTCCCCCATGGGTCCAGCTACACTCCCACTCAGCAGTAACAAAAACCTGCAGCTACTGGATGGGGTTGGCAGCCGTGGGAGAAAGAAAAATCCTGGATGGAGAGTAAGTCAGAAGACTACTTGCCAGAAAATTATCTGAAGCAGGTGGTTCCAGCTCCGAGGAACTCAATTTATATTCTCAAATGACTGGCTGGAAGCTGTGCACGACTCCATAAACAAGCACAATGCAGGCGAGGCAGATGTTTCAGCGAATGCCAGCCGCTGGAATACGATAGCTCGCTCGGTTCGGCTGCGCCCATCGCTTGCGATGGTAATTCGGGAAGTTAGTATTTAAGGTTCATCCCCAGGGAGCGCCTATCGGTTAGCTGCAGATCTGGCTGGAACGACTGCACACCCGTCTCCGAAACAAAGAGGGAGGGCAGTGCGCAGAGCCTTGCCGAAGGTGAGGCTCCTGGCTTATTTATAGACTCAAGACTTGGAAAGAATCATGGTGCGGGAAAATATGTAGTATGTGGGCTGTGCTGGATGAAAAAAATTAGGTGGATTTCTTCAGTGGGACCATATTAAAAATATTCCAGGTCAGAGCTTCCTTCCCACACCGACAGCTTCTGTTCACAAAGCAACAGGCTGTGGCATTTGGAAATAAAGCCCAGATGTACGTGGTAAGCTTTTGTCAGCGCTGCTCTCCCAGGCAGAGGCATGATGAAGTGCGATTTGTGACCAACAAAAGCCTCTGGTGTTGATAGTGTAACCAGGCAATGCACGGGGGTGGAATAAGCTACGTGATGATGATAACAGCGTTGCGCTGGTGGCATCCACGTTGCAGAGCAGCGTGGTTTTCCCATAGAGCTCTCCCAGGGTGCCGGAGCATTCCCGGACCAAATCTTCAGGCCTGCGTGGGAGGTGGGGGGGGATATCGACCTTCTGGTGCAGCAGCATCTGAGGAAATGAGAGACGTGAAATTGCAATAATGGCTCGTTGCAGCCAAAATGCTCTGTCACAGCAGTTCCCAAACGACGAGGTCAATGGGAACAACCGGGAGTGCCACACGGGGCTCAGGCTGAGTGAGGTAGTGGGACGTGGCTTTGGGAAACCAAGTGCCAGTCTGGAAGGGTGAAGGACAGATGCGAGACGGGACGAACGAGAGGAGAGCGCTGCCTGTGCACCCCGGCCTCCGTCAGTTTGCTAAGGATCTTACTCCTGCAGCTGTTTTCTTTAAGGGCTGCTGAAAGGTTGAAGTTCAAGCTGGTTACATCAAAGAAAATCGGATGTAGCTCGTGCTCCACACCGTGTTTCACTATCTTAGTGCGTGTTTCACTATCTTATCTCAATAAAACATATTGCTACTTCTCTCTTAGGAGTGAAGTGCATCACTCCTCACTCATCTACGACACACGTGCTGCCCCTGTAGAGTCTCGCCAGGCTTGTAGGCAGTGGAAGCGCTGTGGAAGCGGGCTATGACTGCTCTCAGCTGAAGGTGCCACCTGGCACCTGCCACCAGATGCTTGGCCAGGTCCATGTTTTGAGCACAGTGATGCCTATATTTAGGTAACAAGGCAGATGTTGTCTGCATGGATGAATTTCTGAGGCTGAAGGAGGAGGAGGTGGCTCATGCGTAGACCAGATAGCAGCCCTACACAAAGCACAAGAAAGGCTGCTGAGTTCCTAACCCCATGTCCCATTTCCATGTGGAGACCAAATAGCCTGTAACGAAGAGCAGTTCTGCAGGGTCTGCTGTCCATCCTGGTAAAACGGGGGGGTTTGATCCAAAGTCTGCAATACCAGACGGTGCCACAAGCAACAAGCAAGTCCGAAAGTCTGGCCCTTGTCTTATATGTTTGCAAGAGGAGTTAGCACTGGAGCATTGTTGCAATTGCTGGTGGCTTGGGTTCTTCCTAGGCTTGACAAGGCCATGATGTCAAACAGGTGGGAGACAGTAAAGGCAGGGATGGGAATACCTGTTCTGATACATTTTCTGGAAGATTTTGGTAAGGAAAAGAGGAATGCAGCAGTAGCCAAGTTTAACACCTCAGGCTGCCCTTGCAGAAGGCCAAGGGAAGACCATGTGGATGCGCTTTGCTCCACGGCTTCACTGCAGAAGAGTCCTGCCAACCACGCAACGCTCTCGCCAGGAACGGTGGGGAAGAGTGTCACCTTCCCGAATCGCCCACGAGGCTCCATCTCACCGGGCACTTTTCCATTGCAGCTGTGACTCAGCCTGCCTGGCTCGTGGCAGCTCTTGGCATCAGTGCCAGAGGTTGACAGCCCTTCACCAGAGCCACATGACGCCTGGGGAAACACGCGGCGAGGAGCCAGGAGGCTCCTCGGTGCTGTCAGGGTGACCAAACGCAGGAGCAAGGCATGAAATGCAGCAAAAGCAGGGAGGAGGAGACAGAAATTGCAAAGAAAGTTGCAAAGTCTAAAGTGCTGCTCTTGCAGCATCGTTGCGTCCCGCGGTTCAAAAGTACAGAGGTCCCATGCTGGGGAGCCTCCATCTGCAGGCACGCAGCTGGAAGGGCTCCAGCTTCCCCATCCAGGGCATGCCCATGGGATCAGCCATTAGGGTTGATCACCACCCTAGTGTCCAGAGGCCAGGGGGACACGCAGGCAGGAAAAGGGTGTGTAGGGATTAGGGCCCTTCTCCCCAACGCCACACGCTAGCTGGGAAACCTTGGGCAAGTCACCCAAGGTCATCTTCTCCCATGATAAACGCCCACATCCAAACTAGGCTCCTCCTCTAAAAAAACGGGCACCATTTTACAGGTCAATATACATAAATTAAGTTCTAAAAAGTGTTATTTCTTGCTATCGACCCAAAAGGCGAGTGTCGGGAGTGCCCAGCTCAGTCTCTGCATTGCGGTCAGCTGTGTCTGTGCAGATGAACTCTGCCTGTAGCCTCTGGCTTGCAGTCTCCATCTGCAAAATGGGCCCAATGGCCCTTTCCATGGGAGCGGGGAGGTGCGGAGCTGGGGCAGCACACGCGCTTTCCAGAGTTGGGCCACTGGGGAGCAAACCTGGCTGCAGTGGCAGGAGAGTTTCATCGTCCTGTGGGCACAGCGAGGCCTTATCGCCGGGCTGGACGAGGGAGGTGAGGACGGGCGAAGGGTCACCCCAGCTGCATAAATACAGAGAACGGCCGGACGCACCGTCCAGGAGAGGAAATTGCACTTCCTTAAGCTGTTATAAACCACGGTGGAAAAGTTTAATAAAAGCAGTCAGGGAGGTATCATTTATTTGGATCTTGCAAAGGCTTCTGATACAATCTCCCATCAGAGACTATTAAAGCCCCTTATCAGATGTTAAAGGGGCAAAGTCCCAGGTTAGTGACAGAAAACAAAGTCACAGCGAACATCTGCTCCTCTAAGCAAAGAGAAGCAAACACCAAGGCATGGCACGAGGCCAGCAGTGGCATCATTACTATTTAATACTCTTTGAGTATTAACGACGTGCGGGAAGAAGAAGAAAGCGAGGCGAGGAAAGCCGACAATAGCATAAGCTCACTTTGCATTGTAAAAGCAGAGCAAGTCAGTGCGAAACCATGTTGTGAAGGTGTTTTGCAGCACGAGAAATGCAATTATCACAAGGGGGTTAAAGTTCTTGCATCAAAAAAAAAAAAAAAACGCAGCAGTTGCATTTCAGACTGATGGAAGAGGTTGCTCAACACGCAAGGCCTTACTTCCGAGATGCTAAGTCAATACCGATGGTTAAGCATAGGACCAGCCCCGCGTGGCAGTGGAACTGGTCCGCAAGTGTTAAAGTAAGGATTCAGCAGGCTGGGGGCTGAATTTGCTCA